CTCACATAGGGATGGTACGCTTTTCTGGAAATTCCCTAGATATGGTTCAACTTTTCCAAGAAAAAAAAACCTTAACAAGGATGTAAATTTTCAGAATTTACAACAAAAACTGCCCCTTTTGACTCGGATAATGTCATTTTTACGCAAAATATTTTTTTAGCTATTTTTCAGACCTATGTTACATTCCCTGGTTTGTAAAAAGAATACATTCTATTGTTAGGTTTGCATATTCACTGGGCTTTATTAATTTTAGCAAATTTACATATCATGAAATAAGCGAAAATAAAACCAAGCAAATAATTAATCTCTTTACAGTAGTAGACTCACCAGTGGGAAACAAATCCAACAAGCAAGAAGATAGTCATTGAGTTTTCTATACAGTGGAGTATAAATAAACAATAGAGGCAAGAATGGACCCATTATAAATATAGAACCAAGTAAACTAGACATCCAGAAGATCACAACCACAAAGAAGACACCTCCTACTGGATTACGTACAAATTCCACCATAATGGCTACATGTACAGAGTGGTGTTTAAGATCTGCAATACAAAAGTACAACAAGTTTATAGTTAAAAAATAACATTCTTTTTAACTTTGCCATTTATTTATTATTTATTACATGTATTTTGTTTTTTCGATTTGTTGACAATTGTGATGATTGTGAAGGGCACCTATACACACAAATACAATATTAGAAGCGCATGTAAATAAAAAATAGCATTTATTGTATACTGAATTATACAAATATGACTTATTATGATTTTAAACACACCTTTGTAAACTTTAGAGCAAGTGTATGCGAGTACCGTAAATATGATATAGGTAAATTTTCAAACAAAATCATTTTAAAATACGCAAAGACAGCTACATATTACAGTCGTCACACTGCAAATACAACGATTGTAGTGTTTTAAATATTGGACATGCCAAACAAACATTCTAGTCTTTAATTTTCCCAGTGTTTAAAAATGAAAAAATCAGTTAAAAATTAAATCTGCATCACCACACTATTTTTGTAAGAGTTTGATCATGTATGAACTGTTGACACATAACATTTTGTTTTATTTGCATAAATTAATATTCATGCAAAATGAAAAAAATCATCTTTTCAATAAAACTGTGCCAAAATGTATTTCAGTAAATTTACTAATTCTATCATTACAAAATAAAATAAATAATTGAAAAATTGTTATAAAAGTATTTTTTTAAACCACAATTTTTATATGTGAAGGAATGATCACATTGAATTTTACTATAGTACTAGTAGTACCGTAAAATCTGTATTAGAAGCCGCATCCCTAATAGAAGTCGCATCCATACTATTTGAATAATTGAGAACTAAAAATTCATCATTTCTCATATGTGTAGATGCTCTAATAGAAGCCGCATCCCCTCTGTTGCATTGTACCATTTTAATAGAAGCCGCGGCTTCTAATACAGATTTTACAGTACTATATTGCTAAAGTGTTTTAGAATCTTATAAACATATTCTTGACAATAAGGTTTTATTTATTTTTCCCCCAATTCTTTGCCAAACCAACCCAAAAGTTTTTTATAAAAAAAACCTGCACCGTTTTTAACTTCTGTGTAAATTCTATGCAAAGATGTTATTTTATTTTTATTGAGACAAGTATTTTCATTACAACACTGCAATTATAAATTACTGCATAAAGAATTGTAAAAGCCCGAGTACAATCATAGACAGTACTGTCTATGGTACAATTTAAAGTCCAAAGTTTAGCAGAATTCAGCCACTGTTACGTTGAAAAGTTGTTAAAATACATCACCCTCTCTTTCAGTTTCCTTCAAATACCGTATATTTAACACTTGACTGAACGGCACACTCAAAACAGCGAATCACTTAGTGGGTCACAGTGGGACTAAGAGTGGGTGTATCTGATGAATTGGGGGCTGTACCCCTATCTAATAGGTCAGATCAATGTCTATCGATCCATAATAAACTTCTCGTGAAGATGAGAGAAGATTCAGCCCCATAGGATTTGCCAAATAAACTCAGATATCACGACCAGTTTGTGCTCATCTGATGTACGATACTGAAGCTTACCCTACCTGATCAGATCGGGGTCAGATTTTCATCAGCAAATAACAAATTTGTTACCGAAATCACACACAAAAGAAAGCCAGTTATCAGCTGAATACGCAGGTCAAAGATCAAAGTGTGAAGAGCCAGCAATATTTGTCACTAGTGCGCATGTCTCGAGAGAGGGCGCTTTTCCAGTTAATTTTGTCTGAATTGTTTTCATTTTGTGACTTTCGTAGTGCATTTAAATATTCCGGGAATTAAAGTGAGGATTGTGATATTACTTGGTTTATGTAACTGATATATATATATATAGGGAGTACAAGTACTTTCACAAGGTAAACAGACATCGTATCTCCGCTTTCAGTTTCACTTCAACCGAAAAATGGAGGAAGAAATGGAAATAGAAACTACAACCTGCGCCGACAATGAAACTATTTCTACAAGAAGACGAAATCCATTTGGTACAGCCACGTTGAGATCACAAGAAGCGAGTCACAACCATCAAATGAACATCAAACGTAAGTTGGTGTTGTCTAGTACTAATAATTTGAGATGATTCTTATAGTATTTTTTTGTAACAAAAACATTAATACAAAAAAGACTTCAACAAAGGAGAGCGAGAGGGCTGATGTCGGTTGTCTACGTTTGTTGGTATTTGTCTTTCTATTGTCTGCATTCGTTTGCCAACCTTTTGTCTGCATTCGTATTTTTCATAGACCATCAATACAGTCCTCACAAATTACACATTCTCGGATTGTAAAAAATAGTTCTGTATCGAGTTACTGTCTCATGATAAAAGATATAAACCTACATTGGTTTCGCGATCTGCTGAATTTTCTGATTTGAAGAAAACTACCTTGTTGTTTGTGTACTAGCGGTAGTACGGTACCAGTAACATGGAAAATTAGTGGGCCATGTTGCCAGGACGCTAGCATAAAGTTGAAATATTGAGAACTATTGGCACTGTGCTGCAGCATATTTTGAAGCCAACAGTATTGTAAAATCATTGTTTATCACTTGGTTATAATTTTTTACTGATATTAGTGATAAATGAAATCTGCTAAATAAAATCCACATAATCAAATAAAATTAATATAGAACTTGTTTTACTGGAATAACCTTGAATTATCAAAGTAGTAAAAATTACATACCAGTGAAAACTGATGATTTCACAATACCAGAATATGTACCAATTAATTGTATTGGTGTTGCAGCTGTGAGACACAATTATGCTATAATTAACTCCAACCTACAATTATTTTATTGTTTATATGCAAATATCATAAATAGACATTTGCATATCAATAGTACGATAGTATTTGATCAAAAATTCATAAAATTTAGAAGACAACATTTTTCTGTTGGTATGGGAAAAAAGTTTGTGATTGATGCTGGCAATATTTGGAGAGCTGTAATGTGAGTCTGTCTTACAGACAGTATTGATCAAATATATAGAGGCAATGTTATAATATAATTTTTAGTGCTTTTTTGTATAAAGAAAATATACCATTATATATTTGAAGTATAAAATATATTGTTCTTTTTGTTTGCAGGATCAGCTCTTGAGATTTTGATGCATAGTGGCAGTCAACAAAACAGCCTTCCATCGTTGGGTTCATTTGAAAGCATGAATGATGAAGATCTTATAATTCCCCGAAGCAGACATGATTGCTGGATATGCCACCAACCAAGTGACACCATACCATGCTCCTTCTGTGAACACCAATCATGTGAACTGTGTGTTCGTCAGTGTGAACGCTGCTGCGGAGTCTTCTGTAGTTTTTGTTCTACTGTCAACTACACCGGTAAACATGATAAACCTTTCTGTCTTGGCTGCAATACTGAAGTCAATAAAACCAAGCATCTACATTGAGTCAGGAGTCATCATGAACGACCAGTTTAGATTCTGACATAACCAGGGTATTTTTTTATCAAACGAAAGAGAATCCATTGATACGGCTTGTTGTGAATTCAATTCCTTCTAAAGGGCCATTAGTAAATTTGTTTTTTTGTTTTTTAATTCATGAGCCAAGATTATCTACACATGGGGTCAAATTATAAATTGTACATAGATAGGAACAGACATGTGAAAAATGAATTTATGTTCAAATAAAAAAATGATTTCCAGATATCTGAATATATTCATCGTAAACATGTGCCTTGAAAAATTACTGTGTACTCATTTAGTGCATGATAAATATACCAACAAGTGCAGCATATGGCCCTTTAAAACCTATTAAGTTGCTTTTTTCTACATCAAAGTATGAGTACATTTGAAACTTTTTTTGTACTGATATATACAATATTTATTTTTCACAGTATTAAAAACTTGATTTGAATATTTTTTATAATATTAAATTTTCATGAAATATTTGTAATTTTGCATACATTGATGGAAATACATTAGGTGAGCATCAAAAGTGTAGAATGTTGTTGCGATATCTTTTTGTTGTTGTTCGCACTGTTCATTATTCACACTTTGGAGATTGTCAGAACTGCCACCAATTCAAGAATACTAGTAAGCTGATTAAATAGCCATGTTTTTAAACAAATTGGTTTTGTTCGAGTAAGAATTAACTTTTTAATACAAATGTGTAGTAATTGTTTGTGTAATTGCTGTTTCTATGTATTTAATATTGTCTTGTTATTTAAATTAATGCATATTTAATGGTTACAGCTGTTTGTACTCATGCAGGTTATTTATGTTATCAGTTTTAAGAATATAATAAAATGGTGCATTTTATTCTAGAATGATGAAGTCAATTTGAATGCTTTCTGGATTCTGGGTGATCTCGCAGATCCTGTTGGTATTCCTTTAGTAGAAACTTGATTGTTGTTTCAACAAAACGTTAATGTACACATTAATGTACATAAATAGGAAAATGTAATTGTAAAATACTGTATACTTCTACAAGACTGATACTGGTTCAATTGTAAAACAATAATCTTTTATTAACTCCCCATAAATGACAGTGTAAATCCTTGAAAATGAGTGATTTGTGTAGTTTTTAAAATCAAAGTTCTAGCACAAAGTTTTACAAATGAGGCCAATTCAACTACACTACATGTTTTGTAAGTGGTTATGCAGCTGACTACTCTTCTTACTACTTTTTCAAAATAGAGTAACAGGGCAACAACTACTGTATATGTTTAAAAAAAATCAAACTTTCAAGTAACATTTACACATCACTTGAAAACTATAGCATGAATCCTGGAAAATACTCAACAAATGTCTCAACTTCAAATCAATATAAGTTTCCAGCTTGTTCTATATTTTCAAATAGATATTTGTGTACTGCTGTGAAATCTTAAAGTGGGGGGGGGCGTCACGTGCGCATGCGTCAGATGGCCATAGCGTTTCATTGTTTACAAACAAGCGCCTGCCCGTGAGCCTTTGCCTTTTTAGCGTGTGTTGCTATAGTCGCTTGGGATTCAATTCCCGCGCGTGCGCACGTGACGAGCCTCCCGCTTTAATTGTTAAACGGATTTGAACGAGGCCCTCAACGGTCGAAATAAATGTTTATTGCATTGCTTGGTGGCGCTTTTTTAACCCGACTGTTGCTAATTGCTGCTTTTAGGTTATACAAAAATTTATAAATTCTGCTACAATACATTTAAAAATAAATTGATCAAATAAATGAATAAATTCAACATTGATGAAATGTAATGTGCGAATCGTACGTGAGTGTAGTTTGGCTTGTACCCGTGTCACAGCTTGCGTTGCTATATAACGATGGTTTGCAGGTAGTACACCCTTTCTAATTTAAATATGTAAAAAATGCGTTAATCGGTCGACTCAGGCTGTCAGCTGTAGTCAATCTTATTGATCGTCACGGTGAACGTATTTGTTATTAGATACACGCTATTAGATGTGTCGCTTTCTGTTCTGCAATTATTATTAGCAGTAGTGTGTTACCCGTGCTGGTTGCTATGCTATACGACACGAATGTCGTTACTTGCGTGATCCGACGGAATTATCATCCATGATGAATGAACAGTGGCAGATTGGAACTTGATGGTTTAGCAGGTATTTTATCCCACTATTATTTGTATTCATACCGCTGAAGATGTGGTACATATTTGTCTGTGGTCTGATTTACACATTATCTAGTTCTTCACTAGCGACTAGAGACGCGACCACGGCGACTTTTAGTCCTATCTCCGACTGTAAACCATTGTAAGCTTAAAGGACTGTGGTCGCCGCGCAGTGCGTGTTCGTAAATCATGTATTAACCGCAATACCCATGCTGTAACCAATCGCGGTGACATTAGTTCGCTGGGAACTACGGTTAAATTAGCTCACTCGTCTGAACCTATCATAACCCCGTACCGTTACATTACTTTAGGCGTACGTCAGATGTTTCGTATTTTTTCTGATTTGTTAACGTCGCAAAAATGAAAGACAATTTGTTGAAAAGTTCGTTTGAAAAACTTAATGACAATGAACTCCGCCTGGCCAGAAACTTTACATGTAAAAATGGAATACATGCATACATTGTAGACCCCCTGCTTTCCCGCAACAAAATGCATCTCAAATAATTCCATCCGTATTAGTATTTTTGTTGATACTTCTAGATATTTCTAGAAAATGCTCAATAACAAATTGTATTGATGTAGCGTGAATTTTCACTTGGATTTTAATTTATCGAATTATCAACGAAATAGTCGAAAATAAATGAAACCACACCTAATTAGAATCCTACCCATGCACGAACAGAGGTTCATTACAACCATCGTGCCATACAACTTGTTTTAAGTTTAACGGGAACAAATTCACTGTTAGCTGAACAAGTATGCTGATTTGATTAATATTCCGACACGTTCAGATAATAATACCTTAAATATACTAGTATATTATACTTTAAAATGTAGAACAGAAATATTATGAAAGACAAGTTAATTTCCTGCCAACATTGAAAGCCATATTTATCGGTGCAATGTCTGTTGGATTTATTGTAGGAGCATTTTGACACTTTTAAAATCACCGTTAGTCAGGTAATTGGAAGGGGGGTTGTCTAAAAAATGTTCAAACCTTTACAAGAACAGCTTGAAATTTAAAATGTCCAGTTGTCAAAAAGTCAAAATAATTGCAACATATTGGAACCGTCAACGATTTATTGTGATATATTTCTAGGGTCACCCACAGTGTTAGTGCACCGTCAAAGTGTCTGCACCAGGTTATCTTTTGTAGGCGAAAACAACACTAACATACATTTTGTTAAGTAAAATTATCACAGAAGCCTGCTGGAATGTTGATGTTTTTGTTTTTATCGCGTATTTGACGAAACTAAGGTATAATTTTTATTTTAATAACGTACTAGTAAATGTTATCAGTTGATATCAGTTGATATGAATTGTGTGACTCTACCCGCTATCTACTTTACACGTACTATTGGATTTACAACATGTAATTATGGCACGTGGTTTCCAGGCCCGTAGCCAGCACTTTTGAATTGGGGGTTCGAAACAACAATAATATATTTGATGTGAAACGTGTGAATTTTATAATATTCAAAAAGTGTCTTTGAGCTCTGTTACATACATTTTCATATTCTCGGTTTTAAATTCAATTGGTTTACTTTGTGTTACGTTGGTAAGTTATTTTACATAACATCTTCGAACTACTTTGCTATTTTAGAGAAGGGGCCCTGAGCCATTCTCCACCCACAGACAAACACACCCACACCCTTGATCCACCACGGCAAAATGTTGTACACAAAAAAGACAAGACTGTACGTATCTTAGGATTATTGTCTACGCATTTTAAGGTAGAATGCTACTCACGAGGTTTTTCGCTCTTCGCAGATGTTAGCGCACATAAAAGTGACTCGATTTCATGTCGAAATCTGTCTACAATTATTCATTTTAGTATTAGTCAATTTTGTATTATGTAATTAAACTTTCTTAAACTGTACCTTCAATAAAGTGATCCAGCAAACTGGCGGTGCCCCTCTCAGCAATGTCTACTTGAAACATTAGCGTAAACAAAGTCTGGGGTGTGGTGGCGCTCTTCTGTATTTGCATCATAGCATTGTCGTTGATAATACACAGTCCCTCGGAAAGTTATTGAGGTGTTGTTAGTTATACAGTAAGTGAACTGTGACAAACGATTATATTTCCTCACGTAACAAATGTAGTATTAGTAATTAAAACGATGATGTGGTTGTAATGTCATTGGGGTCGATCGTTGATGTTGGAGACAATTGGAACGGGAGAGTCGTAGATTGTACGGCCAGGACTGTCTTGATTGATGAATGAATGTATGTATGTGAAACCAAAACGTGTAACACTACGTATTGACAGATAATTCGATCATCGACTGCAGGCTGTTAACTGATACCACGAATACAATTGCAGTGCAGTTTAGGTATGAACACTTTCAGTAGACACGGTGTTTATGTAACAGCCCCAACTCACCAACGTCATCACGGAATTTATTGACCCAACTCATTTATGCACATTTAAGTCTAAAACCGATATGCGGACAATCATGATAATGAAATGACTCGTTTTTAGGTATCCCACCCGCTGCTGACTAACTTGAATTTCACCAGTATGACAAGTGGCGAATATAACCCTGATTGAAAACATTATCTGCATTCGTATTGTTTTCAACAGAAGGCCATAGTGACGTGTACTACCAGCCTAGAAGTTGTAGAGTTATCATGGGCAAACGAAGGGAGGTAAGTAGCAAATATCTACCTGTGATGATATGATAAGACATCGGACAAGAAATTAGAACGGCGATGATATAGCAATAGATATAGCTGTTATCTTGGCAATATCGTCAAACACTATCCCGCTGTGGCATCACATTTCTATCTCTAATTAATTAATTAATTAATTTATATTTATTTATTATTTGCAGTTTAAGTGTTTTGTGATGGGAATTGCCACGGCTTCCATTTCTTTCTTCTTCATATTTATGTTCACGGAACAGTACGATGTACACTCATCTAAGACGCTTCCCCAGTTTGGTGACGTCACAGACAGGTACTAATGACTATTAATAAGCATGACTTTCTTTGTTTCACGAACAAATGTGACGAAATCATTTATTGCGCCAACATGTATAATTCTAACGGAACTACTTATGAAAATGCACGTGTAATTTGAATTAATAGTACGTACCAGTTTTCAAATCGTTTAGGCGTTTTGAATATCCATGAGGTATTTATTTATTTTTAAATGTACATAAATTTAAATAATTCAAACTCAATTTTCTTTACCGTTTCAGGACCTATATGAACCGTAAACCCCTGAAAACCTATGAAATGGACAGGTCTCTTTCTCACGAATGTGACAAACAAACGAACATCGCATTCATAAAACCACACAAAACCGGCGGTACGACGTTGGCATCCATCGTGAATCGCTTCGGCTACGACCGGCATGCATCGTTCGTTATCTGCAAGTATAATCGTCGGAACGGTCACCTGCGCCAACTGGCGATACGATCGACAAGCCCCGGGAATATCCTGCTACCACCTGTGAACAGACGTGATGGTAACTGGAGATCTTATAGGTATAATATGATAGGGGTACATATTAGATATAACAGGACTGCGATGAATTCATTTATGGTACCAAATACACGTTATATTACGATATTGAGGGAGCCAGTCGCGCAGTTTGAATCCTTTTTCAATTATATGCACTTGAACGCTGCAGTGACACGCGCTGGGAGACCAGTAAATACGACTGCCCTGGAAGCTTTCATGGAAAGACCAGATTTTTATCTCCCAAAACTTTTCTACGACCGAGACAAAGATTCTCGGAACAATCAGTTCTACTATCTTGGATTTGACACGAAGTTTCACGAAGACGAACGAATGATAAACGAGACTATTCAAAGGTTGGAAGAAGAGATGGATATGGTGCTCATAACGGATTACTTCGACGAATCTCTCGTAGTCATGAAGAAATTATTCTGCTGGGAAATGGAAGACGTGTTGTACATCAGCAAGAATCAAAGAACTCATCGAAGCGAAGTGCCGGCGGAATTAGCCGAGAAAATCCGAGCATGGAACCGAGCAGACGTTCTATTGTATGACCATTTTAACAAAACACTTTGGCGGAGAATACACGAATATGGACCTGACTTTAAAAGTGATTTGGCGCAATTTCGCTTACATCTTAGTGAAACCTTCGATGAATGCATCGACTCCAGTGGGTTGCAAAATCCGCTCAGTAGAAAAATTGTGTACAAGGCAAAAAAGCACACCAGTAAATTTTGTAAGAGTCTTACACGAACGCATTTGGAAATGCATAACAAGATTTGGAAAAGACAAAGTCCTCTACGGTAAATTTTGGTTCGTTGCCATGGAAATGTATAAATGACATTACACATTTACACGCAAATTCACACAAATCGTAATTGTATGAAATATTCAGTACCAAAAGTCTCATATCACAACACTGCAGTTACACGGATCAACTACCTCGTATTTTATAAACTGGCGTCGCTAGTAAAATATTCTTATTTAAATTAGTTACACATAAAATGCTGCTGTAATGTCGTTATACGTTTCTGGTTGTTGTAGACGTTCTTTTCATAATTTGTAGCTATTATTTAAATTTTCAGGTAAAGTCATGCATTATTTATGTACAACATGACATTTATGGGTTTTTTTTAAAGAAACATTTTTTTAATTCAGTTATTGAATAAAACATTTACAAATGCACTGTCACGACATTGTTTTCCACCTTCACATTTACATGCGGATATCTTCATGATTGTTTCGGCGAATTCACGTGACTGCGAGGGAAAACAAAATCCGCTACAATCTGTATTTTGATTCTTATTTATTAGTGTAATAGCAAGAGCGTAACACTGTGATATATCATATGTACAGATAAGCACAATTTCGAATCTGAATTTTCACAAACCGTATTTTAATATTCCAGGCTGGTGGCTGACGTCACACTTACCAACATCACCGTACAAGTCCAGGGGGCGTTAACACGCCGAGTCCTCCTTTTATTTTTCATCATGTCTCTTTTTACGTACGAGTAGTTTACTTTTAACAGTATGAGATGACGTTGTGCATTCGAATTTTAGAATAAGAACACTGAAATTAGAAATTAGCGATGTTTGCGAAAAAAAGACGTTTGAAAAATACAATAGAAACAATGCATAATGACAATAAAGCTTCGTACCTACAGACAGCTGAAAATAAATTTTATCCCGGAAAAAATATATGGAAATTATTAAAAACCCCATCCACAGATCATCTATGACTAAACTGAGGATAAGTGCCCACATACTTCAGATTGAAGTTGGGTGATGTCACAACATAGATATCTTAAATAGAACATGCCCTGTCTGTGACTCCAATGAAATTGAAGATGAAGAACACTTCCTCTTCAATTGTAACCTGTACAAATCTGAAAGAGATGCTTTGTTTGAAAACTTCAACTTATCCAGTAATCTGAAAGCATTTCTCAATAACAAAAATTCAAAATCTGTCCAAGCAATTGCCAAGTTCAACAGTGACTGTTTTACTAAAAAAGAAAACTTCATGAAAAGTAATTTACCAGCTGCCTCAAAATAATATTAAAAATATTTATATGGTATTTTTTCCCTGTTTTATACAAGTATTTGTATATTATTTTATTATTCCTTATGTATTTTATACTGACAATACTTATGTCTTTATTGTATATAACGGTACCAATAACGGTTGCTATTATTATTATAGTAGTGTCCACGTACAGCTCCTTAGCACGGGCTAAGAGGTCAAATACCTTAGCCCGTGATAGAAAAACGTGCGTGAACGCTTAGCACGGGCTAAGAAACTCCAAGTACGTATTAAATTAATGTTCATTTGGAAAATTCACTATTATTTTCATAACAATTCATTTCGGTATGCCATTTCCGACATGACAATCAACGCGAACACACATGGGGAGAATGTTCTCGAGAGAAAACAAAATGAACTGACGATAATATGCTAGTTCCTGCTTTTCTGCATTCCACATTTTCTTAATTTGCTTTGGTATTGTCTTATATCCGTAAAACTAACATGTATACCTCCTTAGTTGTGTATATTCTTACTAGTTTGGGTGTTCCTTAGGGAATCACCAGTTAATCTGGCCTGGGGGGTGCCGGGCAATTCTAAGGGGGGGCTATTCCATTTTCTGTATATGAAAAAGGGGGGCTAACAATTTTTCCAAGAGTGAAGGAGGGGGGGGGTTATAATTTTCTGGGTTTATTCACATATATTGTATAGACGACGGCTGCTGTGATAAACATACTGCAATGAGAAAGAGTTATTGTTTGTTTTATTGCACAACAATAACTTAATCAAATTAGTATAAAACCCCGCCCCCACTCCCTATATTTAGGGGGGGCTATGCTTGTTCCCTCATTTTTTGACCCCCCCCTATCTAGGGAAAAGAAGAAAATTTAACCCCCCCCCCCTTTCACGGGCTTTTCCGATGAATCTCACCCCCTATCTAGGGAACTTTTCAGTCTAGAACTCCTTTTAAACCCCCCTTTTTTGTATATCTCGGGAAGTGTTTTGAAATACACCCCCTATTTTGAGAATCTCGGGAAAACAAGCAAAAAATACCCTCTTTTCTACGATTTTCTCGGGAAAATGTTCCCGAGACAGATCGTCAAAAAGTACCCCTTTTCCCGAGAAAATGGGAACGCGCATGCGGCCCCCTATGGATCCTGAGTGGGGAGGGGGGTATAAAACATGAAACTTCATTTGTAAACAACAGTATAAACCTCTGTAAATAGCATAACAAAACTTACTGCACTTTCCACTGTATGAAGAAAAACAAACCTTTTAAACAAGTTTGTGAAAAGCAAACACACTAATATAACACAAAATATAAAGATAAAATATATTTATATAGTGTAATATTTTGTATGTAAATAAATAAAATATATATATAAAAGTTTTCATATTTTTTAATAAAACACAACTTTCTGAGGAACTGTAGATATTGAACCTAGGCATCTATTTTTGATCCTCTCCATTCCTATCAATCTCTATCCTCATCGCAAAGAATGTCAGTATCGGCACTATCACCAGGATCATTAGAACCACTTTCACCATCCTCGTAACTCTCTCCACTGGAACTATCAGACAGGCACTTATATTTTAACTTCAGTTCTTCATACAGCTTCATCATCTGCTGCTTAGCTGCTACACAGAAGACATTGCGATGAATGAGGTATTGAAAATGTACTGCATCCATCTTTGACAACTTCAAATTGGCTTCAGTTTGATCTGAGATTTCAAAATCTACTGAACCATGTATACCATCAGGGAAATATCTTTGTACTACCTCAGTAGATGTTATCCCTTGTAACAAAGCTGTAACTCCTCTTGCAAAACGATCTCGTTTTCGCTTCTTCACTTTTCTCCTGTTTTATTTTCTCTACTTATTCTTCTTTTACTTACATCTGACAGTCCATGAAATACATTTCTTAACCAAGTCAGTGTTTTATCAAGATCTGCCATGAACTCAGTAGATTGACTGCAGTTCACTCACCATGCTGTCATTGTAAGCCGTCTGTTCAGTAGCCCACTGTTTTAGGTGTCTTCCATAACTGGTAAATAAGTCAGAGTAACTTTCCACAAACAGTGAGAGGCCGTACCCTTTCTTAAGCGTGCATGAGACCCTATGTGTGAATAGTAATAGTGAAAGAAGACAGCCAGATGATTGGCAGCCGCGTTTCAACATCACGCAGAATTTCAAAAATGGGCTTTTATCTTTGGAGAATACTGAGAGCATCAGAGAATTTTCCTCTAAGTATGCAGTGGAAGAGCAATATGTCATAGACTATTTACAACACCTTACCACACTAAAGCAAATGAAAACCATTAGGGAAAAAGGTAGGAAAAAACAACAAAAAAAGAAGCAGGAAAAAAGTCATAGTGATTATGACTGGATTTCTTTGGTGTTGAATGGGACACTAAAAACATTGACATCAGCTGCGTTGGATAAGTACCTGGACCATAATAAGCTACCAAGAAAAGGGAACAAACAAGACAAAATGAAAGCAATTACCAGTGACGTAATCAGAAAATCATATAAAGATCAAGCAAAAACATATAAAACTGTAAACACCAGAATGTACAACACTGACGAAACTGACTCAGAGGACTCTGATGGTGATGATCTCGTTGACAGTGCAGAGGAAATAGACTGATAACTTAATAGTTCCTTAAACTGTAGTGACGAGGTCAGAGAGAAGAGCTGGAACCTGGAAGCATGCAACGATTCATTAATGTAAATCTTTGTTTTAAAAAAAAATTCATGGGGGGGGGGGGCTACCATATTTTGTCTCTTTCAGGGGGGGCAGCCCAATTTTTAATATACACCTAGGGGGGACTTGTGATTATTTAACAATAACATGTGAAATTCACCGGCACCCCCTCGGTCAAATTAACTGGTGATTCCCTTAGCCCGTACTGTTTGATTAGTCCGTACAAAATGTATCAATAAGAATATGTCGTCAAACGTTCGGCGCGTGTTTATCATCACCGGATGACGAATATGGTGACCTTTTGTATTTAGAGTGACCTAAATGGTTCAGATGGCAAATTTCGTATGTGGGAAGTTAAATAAAAATAGTTCAATGAAAGTGCATTTGTAGACAAAATATTTATTCGACGGATTACAATTTATTGGGAAGACACATTGCGAGGCAGTGGGTTCGCGGAGACAAATGTAAAGCATCCCACCGATGTTATCATTCTAACATATAATTGTGACAATATATAAAAACTTATTTTTCTTACAGAAGAACTGTGATTCCCATTCTAAGAGCAACGCTGAATTTGTCAACATTACTGTGTGCACCAGTATGCATCAAATAAAATGTACATATTGTTAATAATAACCCGAAGATGGAATTCATTTCTTCACACTAACGTCATTACATTGTAAGAATGAAATCCCCCATAATAATAGTCATCGTCCGAATCGCACGGTTTCGCTAAAGCCGGTCCTTGGCTGGCGAAGATGAATAATAGTATACATAGTATAATAGTACATCCGTCTCGTCTCTTGGTGGCGCACTATTCGATTCAGTGCATTTTGCTGTGTCATTATAATTCATAACCTGTATGCTGGGTTCACTAGAGGTCATGAAAAGGTCCTTTAACATTGTAGGCCTCTTCTGATTAGTGTACAGGCATTTACGCGGCACGCCTATCGCTCCGTTGTAAGTCAACGATAGTCAATTAGTCAAATTCTTTGCATCAAAGGTAAGGCTAGAAAATACTGTACTTGGTTAGATATTTGGATACAAGAGTGTGAGATTGAACGTCACATACCCCGGATGTTAGACATGCAAGCGCAGATCCAGGTGTGCAAGTTCAGTATACCTTGATTTGAAACTTCGATATTATTTTTTTAAATCATTTTTAGACCCATTCTTTATAGCAGTGCAACAAGCTCAAGGTTTTTTTTTATTATCGTTTTACAGTATGTATACAATGCATATAAATGGGAGGGTAATTTTGTTTTGCATGTGTTTGGAGAACAGAGTGAGAAATTTGCGTTTAACTATGAATGGACAGGCATCAGTGAGTTAATACAAGGCGTTACGACTTCTTTTACGATAGCGTTGTTGTGTTTCATTCGTCCACAGCTTTCCAGTGAAACCAAAGATGGCTGCTTTCCGTCATATTTTCAACACAACAACTCGTGGTGCAGGTAGGAAATTTGCACTGTGTTGGTCGGTAAATTCTAAACGTTTTCACTTCGCTATAGTGTTCAGGGTCTGCAATTGTACAAGTATTGCTAGACCATTGAACTGACGATGACCCCTGGGCGCCATGACAATGGGCACAGTAAGATAATTGCCTTACTTTCTGTACGCACAGAGAACTGACTGCATATGTGGACAGGGTTGGCTGCTTTGGTTTATAACGTGAACTCAATCCATGATGGACTATTTACTAAATATTAAAAGATATAAATATATATAATAAAATATTCATTCATTCAAATGTATACATTACGCCACAATGCCTTAAGCTTTTAAAGATTTCTGTTTGTTTCTTCTGCAGTATGTGTATGTTATATGTTTATATTAACTGTTTATAGGTTTCATAGACCTAGTCCAAACATTGTATTGGATGTATCCCCAAGTCAGTTTTAGTAAGCAATATGGTTGGTTTTGGGGTATATTAAAATAATTTTGTTTGATATCATATTAAATGGGAACAACAGTATAATTTCTTGCAAAATAAAAACAATGTTTTGGCAACAAACCTGACAGTATCTTTTGATATGTGTAGCACATCATTATTGATTTATCAAACACATACTGCTGTTTCTGCTTGAACAATGTTTAATTTTATGCTGATTTGTTCTTTAAACCCCCTCAGCCATAACTATAATTCTAACCCTGCCACTCCAGTCCTCTTCCATTTCAATTGTATGTGCCCCTATAGAACACACATACTTATTTGGAGGGGCATATACAATTACATTGGGGGGG